CATTTCTGATGAAGGGTCTAGGCCCAAAACGTCAGCCTTCCTGCTCCTATGATGCTGCTTGGCCTGCTGTGTTCATCCAGCTCTACACCTTGTTATCTAGGATCTGGAATGCACTGCATGAGAGGGTGGTGGAAGTAGGGTTGATCATAAAGAGAATAAAATAAATGTAATAATATTAGAACTAGGAGTAGGCAATTCAGCCCCCTGAGCATGCTCCACTATTTAATACGATCCCGGCTGATCTCATCTCAGCCTGAACTCCATTTTAAACTCGAAATTATATATGTACCCGAAGAAAAAAAAACACACAATGCCATGATCTTCAAATTAGAAGATTTTCTGGAAGAAGATAAAAGTAGAATTGCAGGAGCTCTCAGGAAAGCACTATATGAGTGTGTTAGCAGGCACTGAATCCTAATGTGAAATGTTAATAAGTCAGGCACGCGGAAGAGCTGGGTGTTTGCAATAGAGGACCAGACTGTGAACCTGGATGTTACTGGGAGGTCAGTTGAAAAGGGACTCTGGGAAATCATCAGGACTGTCATGGTCCGGGGAAGGGGGAGTTTGTAGACATATGCCTTGTTGCTGGCTGTCGTACCATAAATCTCTGGCTGCAAGCTGTGGTTGAATTGGCCTCCAGAGCCACCCTGCTTGAACAAAGAACACTGCACTGTGGAACTGTACGACTGTGCAGTGCCATATTTAAATAAAGAGTGATCATGCTGCTTGTGGTTGCAATACAATATTGCATCAATTAACTAAAATGAACTTAGCACTTTATTATAAGTATAATGTAATGTTAATTCATAACTAATTTGCATTGATTCCAAATTGTGTTAAAAGTTATAAATTTGTAATTTCTGTATTTGGTTTATGGTTCATGCAGTTAACATTGACCGCGAGTGGAAAGCCTTGAGATCATTGACATCAAAATAAAGAATGGGTGTTTAAATCAAATGCCAAAAGTTAAGAAACTCTCTGCAAAGATGTTAGGGTTTTACTGTTAGATCTAATTTCTATGGGCCGCTTAAATGATTTTAAACTTTATACATAAAAACCAAACACTGGTAAGGCTGGGGCGGGGTTATTGAAAATATTAACTGATAGATATTTGTTAGATAGATTGGTTAGATGTAATAAATCCGGCCACTCCTTGTGGCCATCGTGTCCGGGCCCTGGTCGTTCCTACGCCGCGGTGGGCTGCTCCAGCGGTTTTGGCGATGCAGTGGTTCCGGATCCAATGGCCGGGATTCCTTGAAGGTGCATCTGCAGTGTCTTCGGCGGCATGGTGGGTCCAGCCCGGCCTGGCATTCCTTGCGGCAGCTTTGGCGACTTCTTCGGCATCATAGTGGGTCCAATGGCTCGGGATTCCTTTCAGTGGCTTCAGTGTCGGGTTTCCTCGACCCGAGGAGCCCCGGAACCGTGAACTGAACTAAGATGGACTTTTGTCTTATTTATATATAATTTATATATCATTATATATAATTAAAATGGTGCCGGAGTATGGCGACCTAAACACTTTTCACTGTATTTTTTTACATAGAAGGATAAGTGACAATAAAATACTATTCTATTCTAAGATAGTAGGAACTGCAGATACTGGAGAATCTGAGATAACAAGGTGTAGAGCTGGATGAACACAGCAGGCCAAGCAGCATCAGAGGAGCAGGAAGTCTGACGGAAGGGTCCAGACCTGAAACGTCAGCTTTCCGGCTCCTTTGATGCCGCCTGGCGTGCTGTGTTCATCCAGCTCCACACCTTGTTATCTCTATTCTATTCTAAATTACTATTCTGTTCTATTGTTATACAAGGGAATTTAAGGATCTACAAGTAAGGCATCGATATGAAGTTATGAAGATACAGATCAGCCACAATTGCATTGAATATCGGAACAGATTTGAGGGGGTGAATGGCCTCCTCCTGTATCTACTCTTTTAAATGAAAGGTATAAACAGAAGAAAACCGAGAACCCTCTACACTGCCCCCATCAGACACTCTGGGACAGGGACACCACTGGGCGAAACACAGAACAAAGCCCCACTCTTTCGAAGCAGAAAATAAAGCTGGCTTGACTTTGTTAATCAAAAATAAAGACCCTATTACTCGGGGGAAAAACAAAAATAAATCAACAAACAAAAAAAATGGCTCTCCCTTGATTCGGTCCTCACCAACCTCTTTTGGGCAGGTACCACAAGGGGCCAAAATAAAAAATAAACCCAAGCAAAATCAAAGAGAACAAATAAATAATTAAACAAATAAATAAATAAATTCCCTCTGCTCCGTCCGCATCGAACACTTCTGGGACAGGGACAACAATGGTTTAAAATCCGGAGGATTTGCCTTGCTCATCTTAAACTAAAAATAAAACTCCCCTCACGCCGATCCCCATCAAGCGCATCGGGAACAGGAACAGTACGGGGCTGAAATAAAAGCCCCCCTTGGCTCTTCAAAGGGGTCCCAAATCGGAACAAAGGGAAAATAAAACAGGCTTCATCCTGGGGCATCTCAGTGTTTGTTAAAGCATTCTGACCCAGGTCTCCCTGCGTGTTGTAAGATGATCACTTCCTGACTGACAAAAGAGTGTTAAATGAGGTTAAACAATGACAACAAACACTCCAGATAACGTGGGAAGACACTGAAACTAAACCTCACCTGAATATCCAAAACTGCTGATTTGTCCTTCTCACTAGCATTCCTATTGTATTCCTCAATGGTCCATGATGGCTGGGGTCGTTTTTGCTCCAAAACCTCAGTCAGTCGGAGGTCTGTGTACAGCGGATTACTCTTCATATGGGACTTCATGGAATTGGGATAAACATGGGGACTAAAGACTTGTTCGATCAGAAGAGAATCTTTCCCCGGCTTTGATGGTCTGTGTGACTGTGAAATGACGTATCGTCGATCTACCTGGAAAAGACGTCAAAGGATTAAAACCCAATGAGAAGTTCAGACAACTCACTAAAAGCAAAGAGAGTTATTCAATAGGACTATTGAATTTAAAAAAAAGAAACTCAATTCAAATGAAATCAGTTCTTTCATATAAACACCAGTAGACCAAAAGAAATGCCTGAACTTTTTTTTCTCGGGAGTCTTAACCTGAGTCTTATAAGCCTGATAGAGACAAGAGAGAAAATTTTCAACCAGCTACCCTAGGTTGGGGGTTAATGTTTTTGAGAGCATTGTATGGTATTTCTTGAACTGGTTTGTGTGTGCCAACAGAGCCTTGCAATGCATTCTGACCTGTTTCTTAATTGTGGTGAGCCAGAATTATTCAAAATGTTGAAATCTATCAAGATCACAGCACTAGACTAGTAATACAGGACCCCAGGCTCCATGTGGTCAAATCCTATCACTGGAGCTGGTGGAAGAGAAATTCAATCAATAAACCTGGAATATAAAATTAACCTCAGTAGTGGTGACTATGACATCTATTGTCAATTGTCTTAAAAACCCATTTGGTTCATTGACATCCTTTGGTGAAGGAAATTTGCGATCCTTACCCTGTCTGACCTACATGTGACTCAAGATATGCATTGTGCAACTTTAAATTACTGGATGAGTCATACATAATATGAGTAGAAGTCAACCATTCAGCCCCTTGAGACTACTCTGTTGTTCAATAAGATCAAGGCTGATCAGAATGTGTTTTGAATTCCAAATTCCAATCTAACACCGTTAATCTTTAATTCCCTTGTATAATACAAATTTATCCATCTCTATCTTAAAAATTTTCAATGAGCATAATTCCATTGCCTTCTGAAGACAAGATTTCTAAGATCACACAATCCTCTGAAAGAAAATGTTTCTCTTCACCTCCGTCCTGAAAGCCCAACCTTAATTTTAAAACAATGTTCCTTAGTCCTGACCCACAAGAGGGAACATCCTTTGCAAATCCACCTTGTCAAGGCCATTCAGGGTCTTATACATTTCAATCAAGTCACTCCTCACTCCAATAGAAACTCATTCCAGGTATGAAATTAGAATGCTGTCAATTTTCCAGTCCCTACTACTGTCGAAATGAAAAGGTGATATCAGACTTAATTGGAATTTCTTCCAGTCTCAATGGCAAAGAGAGGTAGCTACAGGACTGAAGAAGAAAACTGAACAAATAAATATGGCAGCTGTGTCGTCAGTGCTGGGGAAAGAGTGCTACAAGCTAAATAGCATGTCATATCTCAAGGAGGAGCGGAAGAGCCAAACTAGAGAAATTGTGGAGACCTCAAAAATGCAGTTTGAATTCTCTACCAATAAATATTCATAGAAATAGCAGCAGAAAGATAGGGGCCAAATCAATTGTGAAGCAGAATTGAGGGGCTTAATAGCTTATTCTTGCTCTCTATCCGTATGCTGGTGGAGAGATGTTAGATGATAGAGAAGATTCAGAGAGGTCTACAGCACAGAAAAAGGCCTTTTGGCCCATCAAGTCTGCACTGGTCAAAAACAGCACCTAACCATTGTAAACCCATTTTCCAGCACTTGGCCTCCCTTTTATGCCTTCACATCTCAAGTGCTTGTCTAAATACTTCTGAAATATTATGAAGATTTCTGCCCCTACCACCCTTACAGGCATTGCGTTCCAGATTCCCAACACTCTTTGGGGGAAAAAGAAACCCTCACATTCCCTCTAAACCCCCTGCCCCTTGCCTTTAATCTTATGCCCCTGGTCATTGACACCTCCAACGGGGGAACATTTCCTTCCTCCGTACTCCATCAATGCACCCCACAATTTTATAAATCTCAATTGTGTTCCCCTCAGTCTCCTCTGTTCCGAGGAAAATAACCCCATTCTGTCCAAACTGAAAGAACTGTGGATGCTGTAAATCAGAAATGTAAACAGAAATCGCTGGAAAAATTCAGCTGGTCTGGCAGCATCTGTGGACAGAAATCAACGCTAATGTTTCGGGTTGAATGATCCTTCCTCAGAACCCATTCAGAACCGTTCCCGATATTGTCCAATCTCTCTTCATAACTAAAACTCTCCAGTCCAGGCAATATCCTGGTAAATCTCCTCTACATCATCGCTAGTGCAGTCACATCCCTCCTACAATATGGATTCCAAAACCACACACAATACTTTAGCTGCTTTGAAGCTGTAAAATTTTATACAGTTCCAGCATGACCTCCCAGCTCTTAAACACTATGCCTCGGATAATAAAGACAAGTATCCCATATTCTTTCTTAACCACTTTATCCGCCTGTCCTGATATCTTAAGGGACCAGTGTACATGAACACCAAAGTCATTCTGATCCTTCGTGCTTCCCAAGGTTCTACCGTTCTTCATGTATTCCCTTGCCTGTCTGTCCTGTCCAAGTGCACCACCTCTCTTGTAACAAAATATTTTGAAATTGGGGGTTAATTTACAATTTCAAAATTGCAATTGATGCTATTTTGTTGGTTAAGCATGTTAAAGGTTATGGAACCCTTCCCACCGTCTACAAGGAACAAGGAGTGCAATGGAATCCTCCTCACTTGCCTGGATGGGTGCAGCTCCAACAACATTCAACACCATCCAGGATGAAACAAAGTCAATTGTTTGGCACCACATTCACCAGCTTCAACATTCATTCCCTTCCCACACCAATGTACAGTGGCACCAATGTATAGTACACCATCTACAAGGTGTATTTCAACAATTCCCCAAGGCTTCTTTGAAATTATCTTCCAGATCTGTGACATTTACCACACAGGAGGACAAGATCAACAGATCTTTAGGAACACCAACAATTAAAACCTCCCCTCTGCACCACACACCATCCTGACTTGTTACTATAGGCTGAATCTTATGCTTTCTGGCTAAGTCAAATTACATCAGGGTTTTTCAGAGGGTTTGTCCACCATGAGACCTCACCATATCTTCTCAAGGTTGCCTCATTATTAGCCTACCACACCCTTTAAGCATCTCTCACATCTGATTTCTGCCCCATATTTACCACATTCCTGGAACAACACACCAATCAGCAAATATCCCGAAATTCAACGACATTCCTGGCACCCGTGCCAACTTCAGAAGCCTGTTGTACACCTGGACAAGCACTGTCAGTCTGGAGGTGCCCTGCACAGTTCCTGACATGGCAAACAGGGGGAAACACCTGGGCATCCTGCTGGATAGGGTGGTACAGAGGTGAGGCCTCCTCCCCTAGGACCAGCAGTGGAGGGCACGATCCCAGACCCTGTCAGCCTGGTCCGAGGTTTATCTCAGCAGTCTCAGTGTCTGGAGGAATGTCCAGCACTGTAGGTAGAAGATCAATGTTTTTTTCTATTCCACCAATGTAAGATCCATTATCTTGTCTCAAAAACTTCACTTGCATTCTATCTCTACTATACCCACGCCCCACAAAGTCTTAAGTTCTACCACTCTCACTATTGCCTGCAATATCTTCCTGACTGGCTGTGATTCACCTCAACACCAATAGCATTAACCCTGCATGCCCTCTGTGCTGCCTACTACTCCCCACCTGTACCAACAGCTGTGCCACCCACTTTCATCTCCTGTAACACCTGCCTCTCTCTTATTCCAGGAGGAAAACAGACAATAATAAGGCAGAAAGAGTCAAGACAGGTGATGTGCTGCCTGTCATTCAGCTCCCCGGACCTTACGAAGAGAGGATCCTGTCTCAGGCCACACTTAGCAAGCAATAACAACTGTCATTTGCTTCACTGCCTGTGAGAATCTTGCCATGCCACTTGTGAGAAGTGTAAAAGATGGAGTGAGTTGCTCCCAATGTTGAGGCGGGCCTCATCGCACTTGTTGCCTGATTCTGCCACACACTTTGCCAAAAGCCCTTAGACCCCTGTAAGATTTCACATTATATATCTGTTCCTTCACTATTGCTGAGTCAAAACCCTGTATTTTCCTCCCTAACATCACTATAGATGTACCTACACTAAACGGATTGCAACTAATTAACATGGAAGCTCACCATCACCTTCTCAAGGACATTTAATCATGGATTTTAAATTCTGGCATTGTCATTGGTTTCCAAATCCCATGAAGTAATTTTTAAAACATCAAAGCAGCAATGCAGAATATAGATACAGATAATACAGAATCTAATTCAGTGCCAGAGCAGTTTGAAGAGGTTGAATGGCTACCTCCTCTCCCTCTTTTATGTAGATATTTTTAATTAACCTGTTCAGATATGTTATCGATCTGCTTAAGCAGCTAAAGCAATGTTTCAAGATGCCTGTGTGGTCAGCACAGTAATGACCTGATGATGGATCTCGCAATTTTGTATTTGTATTCTGCAAAGGTGTCAATTGTCAGGGCAGAGAGACCTGTCCTCCATCTTTTAACAACCATGCCTCCAATCTGCTTCTTCTTCAAGCACTTCAGTAGCAAATGAATCATGACTTTTGTGCGAGAAACAGGGACTCACTGATGGGATTGTCCAGAGGTAGATAGCCATTGACTGGTTGAACTTTGAGGGAGAAGGTGTTTCTATGTTAGGTGTCACTGTGGTGCCTGACGTTCCCTTCCCTCTCTCCATTCTCATGGGAACAAGGCCAGGGGCCAAATTCCACAGGCATCACTTCTCCCCACTCTGGATCTTGCCTGCTGTCCTTAATACGATGGGGTCTTAACTGGCTGCCTCCTGTAAGACCATGCAAGGGGAAGAGCACAGGGCAGTAATGGGGTCAAGAGCCAGAAGTAATTCAAAATGTTTGGGATTTTTCTAAGTCTGGAATACACCTGTCAGTTAATCTAATTGAGGTGTTTAAAACTATCAAATGTTTTGACAGATAAGACAGAAACTATTTCATTTGGTAGGCTAATGCAGGACATGGAAGTATCATTTTAAAATGAGTGCTGGGCCATGTGGGAGGTCAATCAGGCAGCAGCCTAACCCTATAAAAAATACCTAATATCTGGAGCTGTCACCTGCAAAGAATCAATAGGTGCTTTCTA